ACTTTTGTGTTGAGGTTTGCATTTTCATCTTTACGGTTATATAAAATGATAATTATATTTAATATGTTTCACTTAATTTTTGTAGGAGGAGTGGGGCACAATAGACATACAGCCAATTATCTTTTGCTATTATAATATTTTTTGATGGATGGGGATGTCATTGATGTAGTTATGCTAATCCCCATTTTGTTTTTCGAAAATTATTAAGTCAAGTGAACTAAACAAAAAATATTTAGTTCACTTAACTTAATTTGTGGTACATACAGTATGTTAATGATAATTTGTTAATAGCAGTAGCATTTCATTTAATGTTGATTTTAAGTAGGTTAAATGTTGGGTGATGTTTATGGAAAATTACTTTTTAAATATTTTCAAGAATTATCTATCCATCCACTCTTTTTGAATTCATGAGCAAACTTTGACTCAAATATTTATCTTAGCTTACTGCAGAAGCAATATAGAATTAATTGTGTGACATGAAATACATGCAGCTATTATCATTAATTCATGTAAAAATAATGATAAAAAATTCAGTTAATAGTTTCACATTTTATAAATTAATTAAACACACTTTAGAAAAAAATGAGAATCTATTTGGGAAATAAAAATCCATATGGGATTGAATTAAAAAAAAAAACATTTCATAGTCAGACTGTTGCCCAGGCGCCCAGAGAAATTTTGTAAAAAAAATGAAAAAAAAAAAAAAAAATTATTGGAGATGGCTCGCGAGCGGCTCAAATTCGGATCGTAAGCCAGCTCACAAGCGGCTCGAATTGTGCTAAATCCACTATCGAGCCGAGCCGAGCAACATAATTTCTGGCTAGGCTCTGTTTACTCATCTTCTCTCACGAGCCGAGCTCATTAAGCCCAAAAACTTGGCTCGGCTTGGCTCGATAACACCCTAGTGGTAATGGTGGTACTGTCAGTGTGCCTCTACGAAGACATTAAGAAATCGAAACCGATGCAATGATTTTCATGTTTTTATGATTCCTTTGTTGTGTCAGAAACTTGAGTTTCATTTTATAAAGGTACTGGTAACAGTGATATCATTATATTGCAATGGAAGAATTGGTATTGAATCTATGTGCTTGTGTGAATTAGTCCATTCAATACTGCTTTTGAGCATCTGCATTTTAATGTATTCTGATTGAAATTAAAGAATCCTTCAAAATGTTTCATTCTTGCCCAAAATTCCCGCATGAAAACAAAATCATATAAGGAATGTTGCCATTCTTCCGTCGACCCATTGAAGTCTCGCACGGTTGGCAGCGATTCCTAGTTTATTTCTGTGGTCCATCTCCCTGATGAAGTCTTGGCTTGAAATTCTATTCTGGGATGGACACCTTGCAGTGTTGCTGTATCACAATTGCGAAAGAGCGTGTTTACAATAGAAGGAAACAGACATTAAAAATAATGCTGGCATTTCAATTAAATTCACAAGGGGTTTGGGCTAAAAAGGGAGTTGAATGAAGTGGCTAGAAAAAAAAAAAAAAATGATTTGTTTGCTTAAAAAAATTGAATTTTTGAGAGTTAGCTCACGAACCGGCTCGATAAGCCGACTCGCGAGCCAGCTCAAAATATTCCCAAATCTTTCTGAGTCGAGCCGAGCCATAAAATCTGCGGCTCGGCTCGATTATAATCCTCTCTCACGAGTGAGCTCGTTAAGCCTAAAATCAGTTGGGCTCGGCTCGTTAACACCCCACATATAATGACAAGATTTAAAATGCACATTAATTAAGTATTCAATTCCATAATTATTAACTTGGTTGGGTTTATAATAATAAAGCAACCATTTAATTTGGAGACATTTGGGTCCAAAGCGAAGGAAGCCCTTAACAATGGATGAATGCCAAGTGGTGATGAGACAGAAGGCTTCCAGTGATTTTGAAAAAGCCGAAGAAAGCAATTTAAAAACCGCTCTTTTAAAAGCCAGTAATTCAGAAAGAGTGGTAGAGTGCGAGTTGACTCAGTGTCGAGTCTCACACTCATCAATACTCACCAGCGCCATGTCCTCGCAACTCATCCCTTCTTTGTTCACCCGTTCTTCTCTTCACTTTTTCTTCACAATCCGACTCAAACAACCTGGTAATAACTCATCTCAACGCTCTCTTTTAATTTCAATAGGGTTCGCCTTTTTTTTTGGGTTAATTTTTAATTTGAATAATTTGAACAATGAAAAGAGTAGCAAAACAGAACATATTCTTTCATTTCTTTTAGAAGAATTATAGGAAGATTTCAGAACTGCTATTTTAATCAGTATACAAGATATATTATAAGTTATAACTTGGTATATTCTTATTTACAGTTTTGTGAGGCTGGGACTGTACATGGTGATCACACGTGTGGAGTTCAATCATCTTCATCAAAGATATTGATCAGAGGAGGAACGGTTCTGATGCTCATCGTCAGGGATTGCTGATGTTTTGTTTATGTGGGAGCGGATCATTGTTGCTGTCCACCTAACATCAAGGTTGTTTTCCAATTCCTACTATATTAATCCACTGTAAGCGTGGTCACAATGAAAATTAGTTATTAATGTTTACTGTAGCTTCATTTGAAAATGGTTCTGCATTTTCTAACCATGAAAGTCAAGAAAAAGTATGTATGCTGAAAAGCTTTGAAAGGATATCTGATAATCATGATTTTGCATTATTTATGTATATATCTTTTCTGGGTCATATATGTTTTAGATTCGGAGTTCTGCAATCTGAATGCGGAGTGAGGCTCATTTCTAGTGCATGCGAAATGTATGATAACCCTGATATAAATATGAGAATTTCATTTGAATTTATCTGCTCAAATGGGTTCATAATACTATAATGTTTTCTGGGTCAATCCTATGAAGTTGATTCAGAGCATCATGTGATTGTATGTTTCTGGTAATTTCTAATGTCTTGACGGGCTGATATTTTGATTTCGCATTTCCTTGTTTATCATATTTCATATTGGGAGGATCCCTAGACTCTAAATGGTCTGTGCATATTCCGGCCTCTCTTTATTCACAAATTACGGATATGTAATACTAGCCTGTGTTTTATGATTTTAATTTCAACTATTTTGCTACACTAGTGTTGGTATCCTAGTGATTACAAAAAATCTGATCCTGGTTCACAGCTACATTTTTATGTGAGGACAGTGTTTCTACAAAGATTGATCGTGTAAAACTTAGGTAAATAATTGTGAGCTTGAAGGAAAATGTATGAGTTCTCACTAAGAAATGTGATCATTATATTACTTAATCAATGTTCCTTGATATATTTTTTTTGGAAGAGAACTTGAAATTTGTCTCTCATCCTACTTTCTACACATTTGCAGCTTTAGGAACGGATCATTTGCTATTAATTCTACACAAAAAGCTATGGGATTGATGATTTCGAAATATAACAATTGGGGGTCAATGGTATAAAGATATTCCTTATATTCTTACGACACATCTTTGTTATTACGGTGGCCCTATTGTAACTATTTCACTTTCTAATTTTTCTCTCCATGACAACTACGAACATAGGCATCGAGGAGGGATGCATTGGTTTGGGATACAATGGTGGTAAGCCTAAGCCATGTGGGTTTAGCTTATTCATTTAATATGAAAAGGTGAAATTCATTTTCATTCAAATTACGCTTTCAGGACAGTGGGCAAATTTCAGTGACTGATTATGTCTGCATAACAAGCACTGAATGGTGTACTTTCACTGGATTCTCTAGATAATGTTTCTAACGTGTAAAATTTTTATTAATGAACTTTTGGGATTATTTTGTTCAGTAATCCCTGTATGAACCCTGGATTCTGAAATGCAAATAAATTATGTTTGAAAAAATTGCAGTGCTAGGATCTTCAATAGATATCCCAGGACAGGAGCAATTCTTGTGGATCCAATGCAGATAAATTATTCTCAACGCAAAAATTCAAGTTTTAATTACTGCAACGTCTCACCACTTAGATCAGATACAAATGTCTATGAGTGCAGGAGAGGAAAGGTGTTCTTTGACTGTTATTGATTTAATTGCTGTTTTGTGGTAAATAAGCATAAACATATCAATATCATGGAATAATTCATCTTTACATACACATGAATTACAAATCTCATCATTCAAATATTTAAACAGGATATATATACTGTTGTAATGCTTGAGGTGCCACTCAAATGAATATACCTTTATTAATAATCCACCCTTCCAAATGTAAACTTCCTTCACTATTAAAATTTATTGGTGCAAATCTCTGTTTCTTTCTGCTGCACATGTGATTGTTTGAAAGTTTTGTGACTCTCACTGTGTATGTGTACGTGGTAGTGGCCTAAACCTTGTCGTGCTTAAGTGGTAGTTTATTGTATTATATTATGGTTTCTCAGGGAAAAGTTGAGAAGTGACATAGCTGGAGGAAGGATTGTCTGTGGACATGATGAATTGAAGGTTGTTCCTGGAAACTAAACGTAAAGAAATGCGTCTACCTTAGTTATCTTTTTGATGGAATTGACAAAGCCAGAGGCTCAGTATTATTCCTTGGAGATCCAGTAAAGCGTTTTACATCCACAGCTTAAGTTGAATGTAATTGTATAATACCTCCTTCTGTAACTAAATTTGAAGGAAAATTATACCCAATATTCAAGTTTGTATTGAGTTTGTGCAGTGACAAATAAAAAATATTTCAACAGCTGTGCATGACCTCGCTAAAGAAAAAGGTACATTGTGCATCTAACTTTTTGAATGTATATGTGTACATTGTTGTATAATATGAATAAAATTCATGTTGTTCGAGTTATGGTTTGGTTTTAGTTACTTTTGTTTCTCTAATATAAAAGGATAGATGTATTGCAAAGTTTCAAATAATTAATTAGTAGAAGAATGTATAAATACAGTACACAAATATTAGAGAAGCTTTTGGCAGGGTCTGCATTGTACACATGTCATCTATAAACTTACAGGATATAAAGACATAATTTTGTTTAATAGCATATATATGAGAGAAAATTCGAAGAATTGCTTGGATGTTTGGGGAATCAAGGTCTAATGCAGCAGTTGATGTAAGTCAAGATCTTCTTTTTCCTCTGCAAGGCAATAAATTCCAAAGGATTAGATAGAAGAATATAAACATTTTTTACTCTGGCATAATCTACTAAATGGATCACTCTACCTTTATTTTGTCCTTTCTATTTGTTTTAGGAGAAGCCTATAGTATCACAGTGGTACCACAATAACGATATTATAAATCAATGCATGTATATATTAAATTTAATAATTACCAATCAATCACAGATTATGTAAAAATAAACGAGGAAAAAGAAATCAGACATGATATAAAGATATTAGCTTTTCGTATGATTTATGTGGTAGCACCGTAATATTCTAGATTTTTCTTGTTTGAGTGCATAATCTACAATGTGATGACGGGGATACGGATCGCTGCAGTGCAGGTTAATAACTCTAGGTACAAATACATGCTCTTTAGGGCCCGTTTGGATCATGTTTAAATTTTTTAACAAGGATAATATTTGTTTAATTTAGCAGATTACCGTGTTTGGCATTTTTGTAAAAAAAAATTACGAAAAAAAAAGATGACAAACAGTGCTCAAAAGGGGGTAAATTGCCAGGAATATTTGCACCTCATGAGGGGCTGTTATTAAAACGTTACCGAGTAATCATAATTTTTGTCCAATCTTGCCCCTAAATAGCATATTATGCAGACGAAAATATCCTTAGCTTGGTTAATAATTACAAAACACCCAATTTGTAAAATGACAAAACACCCCCACCACCACAGTGCCAGATTCCGGCCACCACCGCCGGAATCTGGTCAGAATCTGCCGTCACGACTCAGAGTGGTCAAATCTGGCTGTTTATTCACCGGTCTGGCCTTTTCCCGCCAAATCCATGTTGGATTTGACCGGAAAAGGCCAGATCTAAGGCCAGATTCTGGCCGTCGACGGTCGAAAAAGGCCAGATCGGTGAATAAACGACCATTTTCGGTTGTTTTTAGGCCGTTGTGACAGATTCCGGCCACCACTAACGGTGGTTGCCGGAATCTGGCAACTATGGGTGGGTGGGGTTGTTTTAGTTAATTTTTAAACTTTTCTTTTCTAGGGGTGTTTAATTAAGTTAATAAACTTAAGGGGTCTGAAAGTAATTAAAAAAATAAAATAGTATTTCCCAAAATAATTAAACAAAAAAGTAATAATTAAACAAATAAGTATTCTGAGAATAGGATAAAGAATAAGGTTTCAAATAATAAAACAAACAAGCCTTAATTATTTATATCTAGTAATCATCTAAAGGACATTTTAGTAAAAGGTATTTCAGGACATCTGTTATTACTATCAACCAAACACATTAATTATTAATACATTCCAATTGAACCAAGTACAATAATAATTTAAACCCGGTAATCTACAATGTAATCTTTTTTTCCGGTAATCTTATTACTAAGATAAAAAAACATTATATGATCTAAACGCCCCCTTACAGTACAGTATATGTACATGTAAGTAAATTTAAAAACAAAAAGCAAAGAGGAATCTGTAGAGTGTAAGAGAGTCTTACAATTACAGGGTCTTCTTGTTGTTGAGCCGCAAGGATCTCCTGCTCATTTCCAAAGCTGCGTCTGATATCAGCCTTTTGCTGCTTCCTATTAGCTCGAGCCCGTTGAAAGACCATGGAATAATCGGTTTGTTTGTGATCCCACCCACCAAATTGTGGGACAGTCATCCATGCAGTTTTCTGTAGATGTGAAATATTTGATAGATTAAATGAAGTTGTTTAGTTGTGGAAAGAATGCAGCAACCAACATACTGATCTTGTGTCGGTTAATGTCCCCCTGGTCAATACACATCAACCTAAACTAGCTCAAGACTTCCTTCTTCCATCAATTATTTGATCTTTTTGAGGTGTTTGTATAAGATATTAGCATGTTCTACAGGAAATACACATATGGTCTAACACAACGCGCATTCATTCGCGCGCACATACCACACAGAGGTATTTGTGTTCTTTGCCTTTGAAATGGATGTTCATTTGAAGTCTCTTGAATTGAAATTACTCCATAATGTTTTACAACCTTTTGCTCTACTAAATAATTGTGAGCTTGAAGGAAAAGTATGAGTTCTCACTAAGAAATGGATCATTATATTACTTAATCAATGTTCCTTGATATATTTTTTTGGAAGAGAACTTGAAATTTGTCTCTCATCCTACTTTCTACAATTTGCAGCTTTTAGGAACGGATCATTTTGCTATTAATTCTACACAAAAAGCTTATGGGTTGATGATTTTCGAAATATAACAATTGGGGTCAATGGTAAAATGATATTCCTTATATTTCTTACGACACATCTTGTTATTACGGTGGCCCTATTGTAACTATTTCACTTTCTAATTTTTCTCTCCATGACAACTACCGAACATAGGCATCGAGGAGAGATGCATTTGGTTTGGGATACAATGGTGGTAAGCCTAAGCCACTGTGGGTTTTAGCTTATTCATTTAATATGAAAAGGTGAAATTCATTTTTCATTCAAATTACGCTTTCAGGAAGCTGGGCAAATTTCAGTGACTGATTATGTCTGCATAACAAGCACTGAATGGTGTACTTTCACTGTTATTCTAGATAATGTTTCTAACTTGTGTAATTTTTATTAATGAACTTTTGGGATTATTTTGTTTCAGTAATCCCTGTATTGAACCCTGGATTCTGAAATGCAAATAAATTATGTTTGAAAAAATTTCACAGTGCTAGGATCTTCAATAGATATCCCAGGACAGGAGCAATTCTTGTTGGATCCAATGCAGATATATTATTCTCAACGCAAATTCAAGTTTTGAAATTACTGCAACGTCTCACCACTCTAGATCAGATACAAATGTCTATGAGTGCAGGAGAGGAAAGTGTTTTGCTGTTATTGATTTAATTTGCTTGTTTTGTGGTAAAATAAGCATAAACATATCAATATCATTGGAATTAATTCATTCTTATACATACCATGAATTACAATCTCCATCATTAATTTTAACATGGATCATATATACTGTTGTAATGCTTGAGGTGACCACTCAATGAATATACCTTTATTAATATCCACCCTTCCAAATGTAAACTTCCTTCACATTTAAAATTTTACTTGGTGCAAACCTCCTGTTTCTTTCTGCTGCACATGTGATTGTTTTGAAAGTTTTGTGACTCTCACTGTGTATGTGTACGTTTGTAGTGTCCTAAACCTTGTCGTGCTTAAGTGGTAGTTTATGTTTATATTATGGTTTCTCAGGGAAAAGTTGAAGTGACTATAGCTGGAGGGATTGTCTGGGAAAATGATGAATTGAAGGTTGTTCCTGGAACTAAGTACACAGAAATGCGTCCCTTTAGTTATCTTTTTGATGGAATTGAAAAGCAGAGGCTCAGTACTTATCTTCCCTTGGAGACTCAGTAAAGCTTTTTTACATCCCAGCTTAAGTTGAATGTATTTGTATAATACCTCAAATTCGGCTCGGTAAGCCAGCTCACAAGCCGGCTCGAATTGTGCTAAATCCACTATCGAGCCGAGCCGAGCAACATAATTTCTGGCTCGGCTCGTTTACTCATCTTCTCTCACGAGCCGAGCTCATTAAGCCCAAAACTTGGCTCGGCTTGGCTCGATAACACCCCTAGTGGTAATGGTGGTACTGTCAGCTGTGGCTCTCCGAAGACATTAAGAAATCGAAACCGATGCAAATGATTTTCATGTTTTTATGATTCCTTTGTTGTGTCCAGAAACTTGAGTTTCATTTTATAAAGGTACTGGTAACAGTGATATCTATTATATTGCACTGGAAGAATTGGTATTGAATCTAATGTGCTTGTGTTGAATTAGTCCATTCAATACTGCTTTTGAGCATCTGCATTTTAATGTATTCTGATTGAAATTAAAGAATCCTTCAAAATGTTTCATTCTCTGCCCAAAATTCCACGCATGAAAACAAATTCATATAAGGAATGTTGCCATTCTTCCGTCAGACCCATTGAAGTCTCGCCGACGCTTGGCAGCGATTCCTAGTTTATTTTCTGTGGTCCATCTCCCTGATGATCGTCTTGGCTTGAAACTTCTATTCTGGGATGGACACCTTGCAGTGTTGCTGTATCACAATTGCGAAAGAGCGCTGTTTTACAATAGAAGGAAACAGACATTAAAAATAATTGCTTGGCATTTCCAATTAAATTCACAAGGGGTTTTGGGCTAAAAAGGGAGTGCATGAAGTGGCTAGAAAAAAAAAAAAAATGATTTTTGCTTAAAAAAATTGAATTTTTGAGAGTTAGCTCACGAACCGGCTCGATAAGCCGACTCGCGAGCCAGCTCAAAATATTCCCAACTCTTTTCTGAGTCGAGCCGAGCCATAAAATCTGCGGCTCGGCTCGATTAATAATCCTCTCTCACGAGCTGAGCTCGTTAAGCCTAAAACTCAGTTGGGCTCGGCTCGTTAACACCCCTACATGATAATGACAAGATTTAAAATGCACATTAATTAAGTATTCAATTCCATAATTATTAACTTGGTTGGGTTTATAATAATAAAGCAACCATTTAATTTGGAGACATTTGGGTCCAAAGCGAAGGAAGCCCTTAACAATGGATGAATGCCAAGTGGTGATGAGACAGAAGGCTTCCAGTGATTTTGAAAAGCCGAAGAAAGCAATTTAAAAACCCGCTCTTTTAAAAGCCAGTAATTCAGAAAGAGTGGTAGAGTGCGAGTTGACTCAGTGTCGAGTCTCACACTCATCACTACTCACCAGCGCCATGTCCTCGCAACTCATCAACTCATCCCTTTCTGTTCACTCGTTCTTCTCTTCACTTTTTCTTCACAATCCGACTCAAACAACCTGGTACTAACTCACTCTCAACGCTCTCTTTTAATTTCAATAGGGCTCGCCTTTTTTTTTTTTTGGGTTAATTTTTAATTTTGAATAATTTGAACAATGAAAAGAGTAGCAAAACAGAACGTATTCTTTCATTTCTTTTAGAAGAATTATAGGAACATTTCAGAACTGCTATTTTAATCAGTTATACAGATGATATTATAAGTTTATAACATTGGTATATTCTTATTTACAGTTTTGTGAGGCTGGGACTGTACATGGTGATCACACGTGTGGAGTTCAATCATCTTCATCAAAGATATTGATCAGAGGAGGAATGGTCGTGAATGCTCATCGTCAGGAGATTGCTGATGTTTATTGTTTATGTGGAGGACGGGATCATTGTTGCTGTCCACCCTAACATCAAGGTTGTTTTCCAATTTCCTACTATATTTAATCCACTGTAAGCTGTGTCACAATGAAAATTAGTTATTATGGTTTACTGTAGCTTCATTTTGAAAATGGTTTCTGCATTTTCTGAACCATGAAACTCAAGAAAAAGTATGTATGCTGAAAAGCTTTGAAAGGATATCTTGATAATCATGATTTTGCATTATTTATGTATATATCTTTTCTGGGTCATATTCTGTTTTAGATTCGGAGTACTGCAATCTGAATGCTGGAGTGAGGCTCATCCTTCTCTAGTGCATGCGAAATGTATGATAACCCTGATATACATATGAGAATTTCATTTGAATTTATCTGCTCAAATTGGGTTCATAATACTATAATGTTTTCTGGGTCATATCCTATGAAGTTGATTCAGAGCATCATGTGATTTTATGTTTCTGGTAATTTCTAATGTCTTGACGGGCTGATATTTTGATTTCGCATCTTCCTTGTTTTATCATATTTCATATTGGGAGGATCCCTAGACTCTAAATGTCTGTGCATATTCCGGCCTCTCTTTATTCACAAATTACGGATATGTAATACTAGCCTGTTGTTTTATGATTTTAATTTCAACTATTTTGCCTACACTACTGTTGGTATCCATGTGATTACAAAAAATCTGATCCTGGTTCACAGCTACATTTTTACGTGGAACAGTGTTTCTACAAAGATTGATCTGTAAAACTTAGGTAAATAATTGTGAGGTTGGAGGAAAATGTATGAGTTCTCACTAAGAAATGTGATCATTATATTACTTAATCAATGTTCCTTGATATATTTTTTTTGGAAGAGAACTTGAAATTTGTCTGTCATCCTACTTTCTACAATTTGCAGCTTTTAGGAACGGATCATTTTGCTATTAATTCTACACAAAAAGCTTATGGGATTGATGATTTTCGAAATATAACAATTGGGGTCAATGGTATAAATGATATTCCCTTATATTTCTTACGACACATCTTTGTTATTACGGTGGCCCTATTGTAACTATTTCACTTTCTAATTTTTCTCTCCATGACAACTACCGAACATAGGCATCGAGGAGAGGATGCATTTGGTTTGGGATACAATGGTGGTAAGCCTAAGCCACTGTGGGTTTTAGCTTATTCATTTAATATGAAAAGGTGAAATTCATTTTTCATTCAAATTACGCTTTCAGGAAGCTGGGCAAATTTCAGTGACTGATTATGTCTGCATAACAAGCACTGAATGGTGTACTTTCACTGTTATTCTCTAGATAATGTTTCTAACTTGTGTAAAATTTTTATTAATGAACTTTTGGGATTATTTTGTTTCAGTAATCCCTGTATTGAACCCTGGATTCTGAAATGCAAATAAATTATGTTTGAAAAAATTTGCAGTGCTAGGATCTTCAATAGATATCCCAGGACAGGAGCAATTCTTGTTGGATCCAATGCAGATATAATTATTCTCAACGCAAATTCAAGTTTTGAAATTACTGCAACGTCTCACCACTCTAGATCAGATACAAATGTCTATGAGTGCAGGAGAGGAAAGGTGTTCTTTGACTGTTATTGATTTAATTTGCTTGTTTTGTGGTAAATAAGCATAAGCATATTCAATATCATTGGAATTAATTCATTCTTATACATACCATGAATTACAAATCTCATCATTCAAATATTTTAAACATGGATCATATATACTGTTGTAATGCTTGAGGTGACCCTCAAATAAATATACCTTTATTAATAATCCACCCTTCCAAATGTAAACTTCCTTCACTATTTAAAATTTTACTTGGTGCAAACTCTCTGTTTCTTTCTGCTTGCACATGTGATTGTTTTGAAAGGTTTTGTGACTCTCACTGTGTATGTGTACGTTTGTAGTGTCCTAAACCTTGTCGTGCTTAAGTGGTAGTGTATGTTTAAATTATGGTTTCTCAGGGAAAAGTTGAAGTGACTATAGCTGGAGGAAGGATTGTCTGGGAAAATGATGAATTGAAGGTTGTTCCTGGAACTAAGTACACAGAAATGCGTCCCTTTAGTTATCTTTTTGATGGAATTGACAAAGCAGATGCTCAGTACTTATCTTCCCTTGGAGCTCCAGTAAAGCGTTTTACATCCACAGCTTAAGTTGAATGTAATTGTATAATACCTCCTTCTGTAACTAAATTTGAAGGAAAATTATACCCAATATTCAAGTTTGTATTGAGTTTGTGCAGTGACAAATAAAAAATATTTCAACAGCTGTGCATGACCTCGCTAAAGAAAAAGGTACATTGTGCATCTAACTTTTTGAATGTATATGTGTACATTGTTGTATAATATGAATAAAATTCATGTTGTTCGAGTTATGGTTTGGTTTTAGTTACTTTTGTTTCTCTAATATAAAAGGATAGATGTATTGCAAAGTTTCAAATAATTAATTAGTAGAAGAATGTATAAATACAGTACACAAATATTAGAGAAGCTTTTGGCAGGGTCTGCATTGTACACATGTCATCTATAAACTTACAGGATATAAAGACATAATTTTGTTTAATAGCATATATATGAGAGAAAATTCGAAGAATTGCTTGGATGTTTGGGGAATCAAGGTCTAATGCAGCAGTTGATGTAAGTCAAGATCTTCTTTTTCCTCTGCAAGGCAATAAATTCCAAAGGATTAGATAGAAGAATATAGACATTTTTTACTCTGGCATAATCTACTAAATGGATCACTCTACCTTTATTTTGTCCTTTCTATTTGTTTTAGGAGAAGCCTATAGTATCACAGTGGTACCACAATAACGATATTATAAATCAATGCATGTATATATTAAATTTAATAATTACCAATCAATCACAGATTATGTAAAAATAAACTAGGAAAAGGAAATCAGACATGATATAAAGATATTAGCTTTTTGTATGATTTATGTGGTAGCACCGTAATATTCTAGATTTTTCTTGTTTGAGTGCATAATCTACAATGTGATGACGGGGATACGGATCGCTACAATGCAAGTGTGATGGTTAACAACTCTAGGTACAAATACATGCTCTTTAGGGCCCCTTTTGGATCGGGTTTAAATTTTTTAACAAGAGTAATATTTATTTAATTTAGCAGATTACCGTGTTTGTCATTTTTGTAAAAAAAATTTACAAAAAAATAAGATGACAAACAGTGCTCAAAGGGGGATAAATTACCGGGAATATTTGTACCTCATGGGGGGCTATTATTAAAACGTTAACGAGTAATCATAATTTCTGTCCAATCTTGCCCCTAAACAGTATATTATGCAGACGAATATATCCTTGGCTTGGTTAATAATTACTAAACACCCAATTTGTAAAATGACAAAACACCCCCACCACCACAGTGCCAAATTCTGATCACCATCGTCGGAATCTGTCGTTACGACTCAGAGTGGTCAAATCTAGCCGTTTATTCACCGATCTGGCCTTTTTCGGCCAAATCCACCATAGATTTGGCTGGAAAAGGCCAGATCTGGTCGTCGACGGCCGAAAAAGGCTAGATCGGTGAATAAACGACTATTTTCGGTCATTTTTAGGCCGTTGTGACAGATTCCGGCCACCACTAACGGTGGGTGCCGGAATCTGGCAACTATGGGTGGGTGAGGTTGTTTTTATTAATTTTTAAACTTTTCTTTTCTCTGGGTGTTTAATTAAGTTAATAAACTTAAGAGGACTAAAAGTAATTAAAAAAATAAAATAGTATTTCCCAAAATAATTAAACAAAAAAGGAATAATTAAACAAATAAGTATTCTGGGAATAGGATAAAGAATAAGGTTTCAAATAATAAAACAAACAAGAGCCCTTAATTATTTATATCTAGTAATCATCTAAATGGCATTTTAGTAAAAGGTATTTCATGACATCTATTATTACTATCAACCAAACACAGTAATTATTATTACATCTCAATTGAACCAAATACAATAATAATTTAAACTCGGTAATCTTATTACTAAGATAAAAAAATATTATATGACTCAAACGCTCCCTTACAGCATAGTATATGTACATGTAAGTAAATTTAAAAACAAAAAGCAAAGAGGAATCTGTAGAGTGTAAGAGAGTCTTACAATTACAGGGTCTTCTTGTTGTTGAGCAGCAAGGATCTCCTGCTCATTTCCAAAGCTGCGTCTGATATCAGCCTTTTGCTGCTTCCTATTAGCTCGAGCCCGTTGAAAGACCATGGAATAATCGGTTTGTTTGTGATCCCACCCACCAAATTGTGGGACAGTCATCCATGCAGTTTTCTGTAGATGTGAAATATTTGATAGATTAAATGAAGTTGTTTGGTTGTGGAAAGAATGCAACAACCAACATACTGATCTTGTGTCGGTTAATGTCCCCCTGGTCAATACACATCAACCTAAACTAGCTCAAGACTTCCTTCTTCCATCAATTATTTGATCTTTTTGAGGTGTTTGTATAAGACATTAGCATGTTCTACAGGAGATACACATATGGTCTAACACAACGCGCATTCATTCGCGCGCACATACCACACAGAGGTATTTGTGTTCTTTGCCTTTGAAATGGATGTTCATTTGAAGTCTCTTGAATTGAAATTACTCCATAATGTTTTACAACCTTTTGCTCTACGTTCTATTAGGATTTGCTAAGTTTAGGGTATTTAAGGTTTTTTTATTTTGATATGTTCTAACACTAGACATAGATGACAATTTCTACCTAAATGAACAAGTAGCAAAATCTCTAGTCAAGAAAAAAAAAAAAAAAAAAAAGATGAACCTCATTAAGGTACGCACAAGTTGATTCAAACACCTTAGTTACCAAAAAAGATAAAGAAACAACGATGTAACAACCCTTGTACAATAAAAGTCTTTCAATTGTTGTTACAACACTTAGAAAACAATTCTAAATTCCAATCCTCCATGATATGATAAAGAAAACCCTAAATTTACACTTGAAACTAAAATGCTAAAATAAAAGATTATGTCAATTTTTTAGCTATTAGATCCCCATACAAAACTATACAAATAATGTTCTTGTGCTAAAGATGGGTTGGTTTTTGGTTAGAAAATGAAAGTACTTCAAGATTTATAAATAAACTCCAAAATATGTCAAAGCAATTAACAAAACATTTTTATCAATACCGAGAAATCAAATCAATGCATCGAAACAAAAGAAATTAAATGAGATGATGGCAATAACATTAACATTTGCAATATTTTCTTGAAGTTTTGAAGCTGTTTAGGCGTACCTCTTTCATGTTATCCATGGTGGCTTGTTTTGCAGAGAGGATGGGACCAACAAAAATGGTGAGTTCAATATATATATATATACACATATAATTTCTATTTTAATTAGATTGAAAGCTTCTTTAACCACGTGTCATCGACTTCTTGCGTTAGAGAAGAAAAAATTGGATTATTATAAGCATGTCTCTACTTAGTGAAAGGTGAACCATTGCATGTTCGGTTGGAAATTGTTGGTGAGATCTAAAATAAGAATAGGGTTGTTCAATTCTCAACACCATGAATCAATACTTCTTTTCTGTTGTTTCCTTCGGCTACAAATTTATGGAAGACTCGACGAATTGCCAACAATATTTTCTTCCTCCAATCTTGAGTTAATAATGTTGATACCCCTTATTGAGGATAGCCTACTCTATTATTGAGGTTTCTGTTAATCCCATAGGATTTTTAATAATTGCAAGCATGTTTAATATTAATCCATCGGACAAGGTCCATTGTTAATCAAAACAAAATCTTAAGGGGGATCAGTGATAATTTCCAAACTAAATGGAGCTTTATAAAATTACTATTTCCCTTTTCTTTTAGGTTTAATTTGACAACCGACTCTGCTTTCGGGTCTTCTAAATTTACCCGTATTTTCATTCAATTCAATTCAAATCAAATCCTCGAAACTCAAGATACTCCAGAGCCTCCAGGGAAGCAAAGAATGGCGACAATCAGTCTCCGCAAGGGCAACACTCGTCTCCCACCCGAAGTGAACCGCGTTCTCTACGTTCGGAACCTCCCCTTCAATATCTCCTCCGAAGAGATGTACGATATCTTCGGCAAATACGGCGCCATACGGCAGATTCGTATCGGCACGAGCAAGGACACACGTGGCACGGCCTTCGTCGTTTACGAAGACATCTACGACGCCAAGACCGCCGTCGACCACTTGTCAGGCTTCAACGTCGCAAACAGATACTTGATTGTTCTGTATTACCAACAGGCTAAGATGAGCAAGAAGTTCGATCAGAAGAAGAAGGAGGACGAGATTGCTAAGATGCAGGAGAAGTACGGAGTATCTACAAAAGAAAAGTGATGGGTATCGGTTTTCTTTTTTTTTCTTTTTTTTTTTTTCCAAATTGGCTCATGGGTCTCAATACGTGTATGGTTATTGGATATTATTGCCTGAGAACTGGAGATTTTATGATGAGCTGGTTAGTTAGATTTGTGTATATGAACTTGTGTTGTTAATTTGCGGGTTATTTGATATGGGATGTTATGATAATTCAGTGAAGATTATGTGTTTTTTGTTTGGAAATTTTGGTTTGTGAAGGTTCGACACTTGGATTGGAGGATTTTTTTTTTTCTGAGTTATTGTTCAGAACAACAGAGTTGCCTAGGTTTTTTATAGGTCATTGAATACCCAAAGTTGAAGGTTTCTTTTGGTTAGGGTTTTGGTGGTTTCACCTTTCATGGTGCTGCAATGCAGAGGTTTTACTTGGGATGATGTTTTATGGGTGATTTTGATGTGCATTGGGTGAGTTGGCACCACTTTTTCTGGGTGCCTTTGGATTTAAGATTTGTAATTTTAGGGCTCTTTGTTTTAGAGGGAATTTTGGGTTTTTTCTTTTCCCTGTTTTGATGCTAATAGAGAACTTCAAAGAAATTGGTTGCTAGTAATTAACAAGCGAGTGATAATGGTTATTTGTAACTGATATTATTCTTGACAAAAAATGTCAATTATCATTTGAGAATTTGTTTTAGAATCCTGCTTTATGATTCTCATGGAAAACCATTGTTAAAACGTTATCATTCAGTGAATGTTGATTTACAGTCATGATTACAGCATTGACATTGTTGATGATCATCAAGTTTGGTAATAGTTTCTAATGAGACAGTGGCTCGTTGAAATTGATATTTTAATACATGACTTATTATAATTAAATTGAAGTTCCTTTTTGCTTATATTTTTCCCCTCAAATACTATAGACTCTTTGTTTGAGCTGTAACTTTTGATATAAATGGTTACTTGACATGTTATAAGAGTGTGATTGACTTCTTGCACTTGAATCTTGCCATTCTAGTAGACAAATTTAACAGAAAGCATTGGCTTGTGTCTGGATTCACACTTGTTTCTGTGTATATTTGAATCTATGTGTCAAGTCCATTACTGGACCATATATATGAGGGACCTTTTATAGTTTAAATGATGTGTTTGGACAATTTTCTATAAATTTAAGCTTTCGGGTTAATCGCCATTTAACGTATCATAATGGTTTCTTTAAGTATAATGGTTGATGTATGTATCTTGGGCAAGTGGTATTAGTTTTTTGTTTGTGAAATTTGAAAGTCTAATTGTGAGGTCTGTCTCTGGTAGATTGATTTCAAGTTAAAGTTCAACTTATTTATTTTTTTCTTCTTTTATTATTCTCCACCTAAGGTTAGAAGAAAAATTATACATGTACCTTTTGAGATGATTGGTCTTTAGTTTGTGAAGTTCAAAATGCTGAATTTACTACTCTCCCTGTCTCTCTTGCTTCCCCCTCATTATCTTTGGTGTGAGCATGGGATAATTTATGACGTCTTTCCTCATTGTTTTTTCTGGTTTATGCACCACAACGAGTTCTGCTTCTTTGAAAAATGAGGGCGTATGTATTTTCAGATCAGATACAATTTGTTTGGTGCATGTTTGCTATGTTTATGTGGATTTGAATTGGTAATCTTTCGCTCTTTCCTATCCTTGTTCTGTGCACAGTTACTAACAATATGACTACAAAAAACTATGATGTGTATGCATGTATGACCACAATTACTGATCTAAATTTGCCGTTAGTTCACTTTTAAACAGGATGTTTTTTAACATACGTATCACCATTACCAAATTAGTTTTAGTAGTGTATAACTTAATTGTTCGACTGGTCAAGTACATGCAAGTCTGTCCATTTGGCAAGATCTATCGACGGACAGAAAGCTGATAATACCTAAGTAACCGAAGCTAAGTTCTATGTCTTACCACTGCAAAGACTTAAGTAGGTACACTAGTTAGTCGTACGCAAAACTCATCTATTTTTCCGATGGATTTCCCATTCTAAACCTTAGCAGTCCAGTTATTGTTGAGTGATCTTCTTGATTGTACTGGTGCTTTTTCTTATTCAAGTAAGGTATTTAATTGATATATATATATATGCAGCTGGTACTATTTGGTTTTACGTTGTGTTATATAATATGTAGGGCAATACTACACTTACAATCCAATCTTACAAACTTTCTCGCACAATCTCGATGTGGCAGTTTGTAATTGGTCAGCTTGTAAATAGGTCTTGCCTACTTGCTATAAGTCTCGTAATTGCGAACTAACCAATTGTGAGCTGTCATATGGGGAGTTGTGAGAGAAAGTTTGTAAGATTGGGTTGTGAGCCAATATTTATATTTAATTATTTATATATTTATCAATCATTCTTGATTTGGTGAGAATATTGATTCAAACTACATAATTGATGATTTTAAATTTAATAGCAACTTTGGTAATATTCTATTTCATTAGCACTGCATTTACTTTTTCTTCTTTAGTATCATATATTTACACTTCTTTTTCAATATAAAACATATATTTTGAAGGTAAGATTCATTATGTCCTCTTAATTTTGTTATTTTATATAAACAATAATATTTGAGATGACTAGAACTATAAGTATGATTGTGTTCAAACAGTAAATCGAATTTATTCTGATTTGATTGAAGAAAAAGAAATAATTAATTAATTAAAAACTTTGGTTTTAAAGATCGGCTAATTACCAAGAGAAGAGAAAACACTTCGATAATTCTAACTCATTAATATAAAAGGGGGATGGGATATCCTGATATATAAGACAAATTTATTCTTATAACAATAAACTATATGATCGTTTCGGCCTGCTTCAGCAACACGATGGGCCTCCTTTATGACCGCGGAGTCACTATACATGGGCAAATTCCTGAACACCCCTAACTGGTTTAGCAACACGATGATTATTTCGGCCTGCTTCAGCAACACGATGGGCCTTCTTTATGACCGCGGAGTCAGTGTACATGGGCAAAATCCTGAACTGGTTTAGTAAAATTTTAGACCCCCTAGGTTCTGTAAACTAACACCGTCACTCCCAACATTAATTTCCTATATTTATAAGGGTGTGTTTGGTTGGGGGTAATGAGAGATTATTGAAGTAATGTCATCTTATATTATTTTATTATCACGTTTGGTTGTCAAGTAATATGAGATTCCAGTAATCTCTCAAAACTAATAGTAATCGTTGTTGGTAGTATAAGAGGTAATTTGATTACCTTCATTTTCTTAGGTATTTTAAGATTAATTGGTAATCTTAATTTTGTTACAATTTTTATCCCTTATTAATAAAATTTTTGGACAAAAATATTCTTATTTTGAAATTAATTTACAAATATATTCATGGACTATTTTATCTTTATATACAAATTTTTTAGGACATAAATACCCCTAAACTTTAAAAAAATTACCCAAGGGTGGTGGTCGAATCTGGCCACCGTTGCCTTAGGTCGACGACAGAATGACGTACGACCGATTAGATTTGGTCGATTGTGCGTCGATAAGGCCTTTTTTTGCTATGAATATGTGATTCATGGCTAGAAACGGCCAGATCTATGGCTGCTTTAGGGCTAAAGATATGGTCGTGAAAAGACCATAGATATGGTCGTGAAAATACCAAATATTTGGTCATAAAATAGCCAAAAAATGCTTTATTGGTGCACAATCGACTAAATTTGGCCGGTCATATATCATTCCGACGACTGTCAACAGTGGTGGCTTAGGATAGGTGAGGATGATTTTGTTATAAATTAAAGTTTTATATGATTTGGGTGTTTTAGCAAAATTTCAAATATAAGGGGTTAAAAAATAGAAAATAATTGTTATTTATGTTTACAATGAATAGGATAGAGTTTGTGTCACATGATAAACGTTTTCAAGTGAATAATATATCCAAACTGTTGATGGTAGGTCAAGAAAAGTCGGGACGACAATTGGCACACACCTGTCATATTCTTATTCAAAATTTAATAAAGGATTGGTAGTTAAGTTAGTCTATAAATGACTCCTTTGAAACTTGTATAAATGGTCGACCTTTTGACGTTTTGATTGTAGTGTTTCTTAAAACACTTGAGAAACTCCTTTTCCCAAAAACGGCCATCAGCTATTTCATGTTCTTATGCCCAATCAATCTCCCACTCTTCCTTTTTCATCCCAACTGAGAGCCAACCATTATCAGCTTTACTACTAATTGAATCCATTTCTTAAACTACTTCAATTCAAAATAATTTTGTTCTTCCCAAAGTCAGACCAAAACTATCTTTTATTTTATACCCAAAAAAATAAAAAAATAAAGAACAGTTGCACTTCTGACTTTTCTTAAGCTATCCAATATTTTAGATTTTAAATATAAAAAATCAAAACCAACCCCAAAAGACTCAACGCGGCTCAAGATTCTTGATTGTCAAAGTATCAGCGCAAGAAAAATAAAAGTTTAGGTAAGCATGATTAAAAAAATGGAATATAAGTTGAAAAGAAGGGGAAAAAAACTTATTTCTTAAACCAAAATTTTCCTTTCACTATTTTGTTATGACTTATGAGAATATCACTGTTTTAGTTGGTTGACGTGATATTGTGATAAGCTTATCTAATAAATGCATTATTATATATTTATCAAATTTTCTATTTCATTTACTATCCATCATTAATTGTTCATTAATAAGCACTACCATAAGAAATAATTTTGAAAATTAATCATACATATTATTGTTTTATTAGACAATCTTAGGAGCCAAGTGAGGTGGTAAGACTGTACCATGTATGATTTTCTCAAGATCCAAACATGTTTGAAATTTGGAATGTGATTGTTTTTGTAAATATTGTAATGTTTGGTTAGTTGTTTATGTCATCGCTAGCTCAGGCTTCCCTGCTAGAAAATGCTTTCATTAATCTGAAGATAATCCCACCATAGACCCTTAATTTTCTATTGGACTATATGAATCCCACAATATCTTTGAACATTTCAAAACACAGCGGATTTATTAAATAAAAATTTTACCATCATAACTTTCGATGCTTGATTTTGACAACAACTATTAGCACGTGAGAAATGCTAAACGGATTTAGAAGTTACACGTTATTATAGAAGTATTTAGTTGAATAAAGGGTGAAGAACAATGTTTAAAGTAGTTCGGATACTCAAAAGGCGAATTCTACGTCCACTAATATTGTATTAATGAGTGAAGTCAGGTCGTATTTAGTCAACTAGGTTACAACTTAGAGAATACGAGAGAGAGAGAGAGAGAGAGAGAGAGAGAGAGTATGCTATTCTACAATGAAATTAGTCAATCTTATAAATAGGAAAGAAAATCTCTATTTATAGTGGGATGAATCAAGATAATGATTACTAAATCTGCGAGTATGGTAGATGTCGTACAAATCATTTTCTATGTTTCATTGCTCACATATTCAAGCGATCTTTTCGACTTATACAGGGATTAGATATGTAAACCATTTTTAACTATTTATCAACGTAATATATACCCACTATACTAGTAAGAATATATCACTTACACCATCACATAATATAATTATATTTGAGTGGTTATAGAACCTTCTTAAATTCTGATCACACAAGTTAACACGACTATACCGTGAGCCCTATTTTTCCAGGGTACCCATGACTTTTCGTTTAATGTGACATCGATGCAAGAATATATTTGACATTAACAAATATCTAGATATATTTAATTCTGTTTTTTAAGATTATTGTCACATCATGGCAACCTGTACTCCTGTTCTAAGCAATAAAAAATTATAAAAATAATCCCCACCAAACTACGTGATTAGACGCGTTGCCTCCCACCTACGCAACAAATTTGATTAAACAAGAAGAGTTTTTTCTTTTTAGAGCTTCAAGGCCCCCATTAATAATGCAGCCATCAGGACTTATTTCACGGCCAGTAATAACTAATAATTTGGTTGCATAAGCATGAGTTTGACAGCCCATTAATATTGCGGATATTAAGAGGGTTTATACAAATTTACGTAGCACATAAAATTACGTGACTGAGTATCATATAACATAAAAATCTACATAACATTAATATGATATTAAATTACGTGAATCTCAATATTCTATAACATATTTTATAATATATCATATAAATTTATATAAATTCTCTTAGTAAAAAAAAAAACTTGTAAAGATAGCGTTACCATAATATTGCCGCCATCAGAATAATGGTGCAGTACTGACTTGATCAACCATTATCGCTACCATGTGAAAGAAATCGTGGAGAAAAATTTAAATATTATCGCGGAATCATGGAGAGATATTTCAATATTATTGAATGAATATTCATGGAGATAAATTTCTGGCAACGACGTGTGTCAGCTATAGTCAAATTTGAAGTCGGTAGGGATACCCGCGAGGCAGCAGGCAATCGCATAAGCGAATTGACTAAAACAATCAGGAACTGCCACAAATTGCGTGTTGAAGAGGTCTGCTTATTCTTTGAAACAGTCATTTATTGGAAAATATGATTTACATTAGTTGCAGGCCGTAGTAGGTAATGAATTGAAAAGTAATATTCTTATTACGGGATTAGATTATAAATTCTATTGTTACTACAGGAATAATGACATAGGGTTTGCGTCAAAATAGTCAAATACTATTATGATAAAATTTATCCCGACCCTCTTTATTCATAAGATCCGAGCACTCCTGTCAGAGTATTCAACTAATATATAGCATTGCTTAAGTTGTCCTAGATTCCGAGAAAGAAATTAAGACATATCTTAATCTGTCCCATTCAGAGAATTCTGATTGACCCTATCAAAACCGAAATAGATGTGCATGTGATTACGGATAACCAGCAGTGGATAAATAATAAATGTAATAAAGTACATGACAGAGAGATTTTTAAAGTGGTTTGATAAATTAGAACTTAAGCTTACGTCTACTGTCATCTTATTGTTTTTTAGAGTTTACAAAAAACAGTATCATCTATTCTAATGCCACAAATGTTGTTGTCAAATGATCTTCGATCATACAACATTTATTTTGATACCAAAAAATTGTATCATCCTAATCGGGCAATAGCATAATCAATAACAAAAATAAATAAATAAAACTAATCACATTAGAATATTCGATTTTAGGTTTAATGTGACTACATCCACAAACCTGTTAGGTATTGGGATTAAACAATTTTTTGCTGTTGTTTTCAAGTGTGTTCATAAGGGGCAGCTAGATGTATTGAATATTGTTGAGTTTGTGTTTTAATTATATGTTGATGTTCAGACAAAATAAGTTTCAAAGAAAGATGGTTTAGGCTCTATGTGTTTTCCTAGAAAAAATTATTTAAAAAAGAGAATAAAGTAAATTCACGCCTCCACGTAATCCACCCACCGTTTACTTGTAGGATTATTTTATTTACTGGTGAAAGCTGATTCATTCTCTTTTATTTAAATAATAATGGTAGGCTCAAATGATTTGACTTTATATAATCTTGTACTATAATCCTTTGCATATTTGATTAATCATACCGGGAACTGAGCTTTCATGCCATCTTTGTTGAATGATTTAATCCAACCCTATTAATTATTAGAAAATATTAGATGATGACATCAGGTTTGAATAAATTTTTGTGTGCTAGTCAATCCGATCCATCGAGGAACGTTTCTTTGGTTTGGTGGGAATTGAAATACTCGCAGATCATTCATCACCTCCATCGAAATTCAAACCTTTCAAAGCCTTATATATTGCACCCAGTTACATTTTTTGTTCACTCAACCCATTGCTTAGAGCAGAAATGACACTATCCGCCATATTCCAAGACTCCTTCCTCCTCAAACAGGGCCTTGTCGCCGTTCTCCTTCTTATCATAACACGCTATGTCATCCGTTTTCTCTTCAGGAAATCAAGACCCCCGCTCCCTCCAGGACCACATGGGTTCCCTATCGTCGGCGCCCTGCCCCTCATAGGCAGCATGCCGCATGTCAGCTTCGCCAAAATGGCCAAAAAATACGGGCCAATCATGTATCTGAAATTCGGAAGTCAAGACATGGTGGTGGCCTCAACCCCGGAAGCCGCTAAAGCCTTCCTCAAAACCCACGATCTCAATTTCTCAAGCCGTCCCATCGATGCAGGCGTCCACCATTTGGCCTATGATGGACAAGACATGGTTAATGCTGAATATGGACCAAGGTGGACATTGTTGCGGAAAGTTTGTAATACTCATATGTTTGGTAGCAAGGCCATCGAGAATTGGGCTCATGTTCGCGTCTCTGAGGTTGGCCTCATGCTTCAGGATATGCTGGAGGCGAGCCGGAAAGGCGAGCCGGTGTTGATGCCTACAATGTTATCATATCTCACGGCGAACGTGATCGGCCAGGTGGTGCTCAGCCGTCGTGTTTTTGCTACAAACAGTTCGGAATCGAACGATTTTAAGGTTCTGGTGGTGGAGATGATGAAGTATGCAGCGGTTTTATTAGTGAAGGATATTATCCCGGCCTTGGGTTTCTTGGACAGAGGAACCGAGCGGAAAATGAAGAAATTACACAAACAGGTCGATGCAATGATAACGAAAATGATTGAGGAACATATTGCGACGAGTCATGAGCGTAAAGAACACCCTGATTTGCTTGACGTTATTTTGACTTACCGTGACAAGCCAGATGGTGAGAGACTTAGCATCGAAAACATTAAAGGACTCCTCCTGGTATATCTCTTAACAACTTCTTTAAACATTTACTTTTTAATGTAAATTTGACTACGTCCATGACTCAACTGACCCTGTTCATAAATTATGTTTAGAACTTATTTGTGGCCGGCACGGATACATCATCAAGCATCGTCGAATGGGCACTGACCGAGATGTTGAAAAACCCAACCATTTTCAAGAAGGCACAAGAGGAGATGGATCAAGTAATCGGAAGAGACCGAAGGCTCGAAGAATCTGACATCCCAAAACTCCCATACTTACAAGCCATATGCAAAGAAGTCTTAAGAAAACACCCATCAACACCGCTCAACCTGCCTCGCCTCGCATCCGAAGATTGCGTTGTCAACGGCTACTTCATCCCCAAAAACACTAGGCTCCAAGTAAACATCTGGGCAATCGGACGCGACCCTGACTTGTGGGAGAACCCATTAGAGTTTACACCAGAAAGGTTTTTGACAGAGAAGAATAAGAAGATTGATCCGCGAGGAAACGACTTCGAGTTGATCCCATTTGGAGCAGGAAGAAGAATCTGTGCTGGAGTCAGAATGGGAATGGTTCAAGTTGAGTACGTTTTGGGAACTTTGATTCATTCGTTTGACTGGAAATTACCAGAGGGAGTTAAAGAGTTAGACATGGAGGAAATTTTTGGTCTCACACTGCAAAAAGCGGTGCCTCTTTCAGCCATGGTTTCCCCAAGACTTGCCCCAAATGCTTATGTTTAACAACTGATTATAATCAAGCTCCATAATTAATCGGGCTGAAACGGGCAGAGCTTTGATTTCACGTTTGTTTATCAGGAGGATCATCTCACCTTCTTCCTGCGTTTTATTCTTTTAGTTTTTTCTCCAGAATAATTTATATTTGCTTGTAATCAATCTTGTATCTTCTACTTAAAATAATGAGATACCAATGTTCTTCATGATTAATTTTAGGAACTCAATTTTTATCATTTCAGAATATCAAGGAAGATAATTTCTGTTCAGATATAATACTGTTAAATTGACATTGCAAAGCATGTAACACCTAACCGACCCTCATTGTTCATAAGATCCGAGCACTCCTGTCAGAGTATTCAACTAATATATAGCAAGTTATTTAGTTAGCATTGCTCAAGTCTGTCCTAGATTTCGAGAAAGACATCAAGACATATCTGGTTGATACAGAAATCTACACCAATCAAAGAATTTTGATTGACCCTGTTAGAACCGGAATAGATATGTGCGTGATTACGAATAACCAGCAGTGGATAAATAATAAACGCAATAAAGTAAATGGCAAAGAGATTTTTAAAGTGGTTCAGCAAGTTAGAACTTAAGCCTACGTCTTCTGAGAGCTTACAAAGAACAGTATAATTTCCAGAAAAATTTGCTTAGAATAATTTCCCAACCCCCTTGAAAACAAGTTATGATAGGTTTATATAGCACCCATTTACATGATAGAGTTGAGATAAGATTCAAATACGTAAGATTAAGAAGTTGTATGATCTTCGACTACCTTAGTTTGAATCTAAGTAAATCTGAATATCTTCCTTCCAAATTGAGTCAATCTAAATATCTTCTCTCTTAATAGGGAATTATCCTCTCCGGATTAACAGCACAACATATTCATCACCAAAAAGTATCGGATTTCATCTATTCTAATGCCACAAATGTTGTTGTCAAATGATCGTCTAATGTCAATCAGACAACATTTATTTTGATACCAAAAAATTGTATCATCCTAATTGGGCAATAGCATAATCAATAACAAAAATAAATAAATAAAACTAATCACATTAGAATATTCGATTTTAGGTTTAATTTGACAACATCCACAAACCTGTTAGGTATTGGTATTAAACAATTTTTAGCTGTTGTTTTCAAGTGTGTTCATAAGGGGCAGCTAGACGTATTGAATGTTTGTTGAGTTTGTTTTTTAATTATATGTTGATGTTCAGACAAAATAAGTTTCAAAGAAAGATGGTTTAGGCTCTATGTGTTTTCCTAGAAAAAATTATTTAAAAAAGAGAATAAAGTAAATTCACGCCTCCACGTAATCCACCCACCGTTTACTTGTAGGATTATTTTATTTACTGGTGAAAGCTGATTCATTCTCTTTTATTTAAATAATAATGGTAGGCTCAAATGATTTGACTTTATATAATCTTGTACTATAATCCTTTGCATATTTGATTAATCATACCGGGAACTGAGCTTTCATGCCATCTTTGTTGAATGATTTAATCCAACCCTATTAATTATTAGAAAATATTAGATGATGACATCAGGTTTGAATAAATTTTTGTGTGCTAGTCAATCCGATCCATCGAGGAACGTTTCTTTGGTTTGGTGGGAATTGAAATACTCGCAGATCATTCATCACCTCCATCGAAATTCAAACCTTTCAAAGCCTTATATATTGCACCCAGTTACATTTTTTGTTCACTCAACCCATTGCTTAGAGCAGAAATGACACTATCCGCCATATTCCAAGACTCCTTCCTCCTCAAACAGGGCCTTGTCGCCGTTCTCCTTCTTATCATAACACGCTATGTCATCCGTTTTCTCTTCAGGAAATCAAGACCCCCGCTCCCTCCAGGACCACATGGGTTCCCTATCGTCGGCGCCCTGCCCCTCATAGGCAGCATGCCGCATGTCAGCTTCGCCAAAATGGCCAAAAAATACGGGCCAATCATGTATCTGAAATTCGGAAGTCAAGACATGGTGGTGGCCTCAACCCCGGAAGCCGCTAAAGCCTTCCTCAAAACCCACGATCTCAATTTCTCAAGCCGTCCCATCGATGCAGGCGTCCACCATTTGGCCTATGATGGACAAGACATGGTTAATGCTGAATATGGACCAAGGTGGACATTGTTGCGGAAAGTTTGTAATACTCATATGTTTGGTAGCAAGGCCATCGAGAATTGGGCTCATGTTCGCGTCTCTGAGGTTGGCCTCATGCTTCAGGATATGCTGGAGGCGAGCCGGAAAGGCGAGCCGGTGTTGATGCCTACAATGTTATCATATCTCACGGCGAACGTGATCGGCCAGGTGGTGCTCAGCCGTCGTGTTTTTGCTACAAACAGTTCGGAATCGAACGATTTTAAGGTTCTGGTGGTGGAGATGATGAAGTATGCAGCGGTTTTATTAGTGAAGGATATTATCCCGGCCTTGGGTTTCTTGGACAGAGGAACCGAGCGGAAAATGAAGAAATTACACAAACAGGTCGATGCAATGATAACGAAAATGATTGAGGAACATATTGCGACGAGTCATGAGCGTAAAGAACACCCTGATTTGCTTGACGTTATTTTGACTTACCGTGACAAGCCAGATGGTGAGAGACTTAGCATCGAAAACATTAAAGGACTCCTCCTGGTATATCTCTTAACAACTTCTTTAAACATTTACTTTTTAATGTAAATTTGACTACGTCCATGACTCAACTGACCCTGTTCATAAATTATGTTTAGAACTTATTTGTGGCCGGCACGGATACATCATCAAGCATCGTCGAATGGGCACTGACCGAGATGTTGAAAAACCCAACCATTTTCAAGAAGGCACAAGAGGAGATGGATCAAGTAATCGGAAGAGACCGAAGGCTCGAAGAATCTGACATCCCAAAACTCCCATACTTACAAGCCATATGCAAAGAAGTCTTAAGAAAACACCCATCAACACCGCTCAACCTGCCTCGCCTCGCATCCGAAGATTGCGTTGTCAACGGCTACTTCATCCCCAAAAACACTAGGCTCCAAGTAAACATCTGGGCAATCGGACGCGACCCTGACTTGTGGGAGAACCCATTAGAGTTTACACCAGAAAGGTTTTTGACAGAGAAGAATAAGAAGATTGATCCGCGAGGAAACGACTTCGAGTTGATCCCATTTGGAGCAGGAAGAAGAATCTGTGCTGGAGTCAGAATGGGAATGGTTCAAGTTGAGTACGTTTTGGGAACTTTGATTCATTCGTTTGACTGGAAATTACCAGAGGGAGTTAAAGAGTTAGACATGGAGGAAATTTTTGGTCTCACACTGCAAAAAGCGGTGCCTCTTTCAGCCATGGTTTCCCCAAGACTTGCCCCAAATGCTTATGTTTAACAACTGATTATAATCAAGCTCCATAATTAATCGGGCTGAAACGGGCAGAGCTTTGATTTCACGTTTGTTTATCAGGAGGATCATCTCACCTTCTTCCTGCGTTTTATTCTTTTAGTTTTTTCTCCAGAATAATTTATATTTGCTTGTAATCAATCTTGTATCTTCTACTTAAAATAATGAGATACCAATGTTCTTCATGATTAATCTTAGGAACTCAATTTTTATCATTTCAGAATATCGAGGAAGATAATTTCTGTTCAGATATAATACTGTTAAATTGACATTGCAAAGCATGTAACACCTAATATATATGTTTTAATAGTTAGAAATATATTTAATATGATCTTTAAAATTTCTTTTCAAATTAAAAACTAGAAAGAAAAAACTGTATAAAAGATTTCCAATCATTTTTTTATTTTGCGCTCGTTCTTGGGATTGTATCAAAAAAATTTATTGTTTCGAAAACATTTCAGCTCATTTCTATATAATGCATTTTCATAAAGATTTTGTTTTATATTTCTTGTTTTCAGAAACAAAAATTTTAAAAACTGTATTTCAGTTCAATATATCGTGCCTTAATACTCAAACTTTTTCCATATGGACTGCTGCTATAATTTTTTTCTCAATTTGATCCCTGCTTGATTTAACAAAGATCCGTTTGATTTAATTTGGGTTGGTGAATTAATTATCTTGTGTTTAAAGCTTAGCTAAACAACATAATATATTTTTAAAAGGGTAATTATCCCTGACTGGGCAGTAGGATGAGCACGGACGGGGCCGGAACCCGACTCCGGGCCGGGCCGAAGGCCCAAGAGAATTTCCCGAGCCCAGCCCATCTCCGGGACAGGGCTGTCAGGAATCCCCAGGCCTCGCCCGCGGGGATGCAATGACTCCCAGCCCGTCCCGAATTCGGGGATTTTGGCTAAACATAAATTCCTTCAAAAAAATGAAAAATTGGGTGAAATCCACAAGAGAAAGAAACTCAAAACCCTTCTCAGAAGAGGAAAAAAATCATAAATTTACTACTTGAAATAAAGAAGAAACTGAAGCAAAGTTAAGAACTTTAAGTAAAAGCTAAGAACTTGTAGATCCTAAAGCAAATTAGGAAAAATTTGGAAACTTGACAATCCAGATGAGAAAATGAAAAAAGGAAAGTCAGATCTAGAGAGAAGAAGATAAATTGAAAGAAAAAAGACTTAGTTGGATTTGGCTGACATGGTTGAGGAAGAGAAGTGAAGTGGGATATTGAAGGTGTTTGTGAAGAGATAAAGTGAAGGAGAGAAGCGGGAAATGTGTTGAGGGTGCTAAAGAGCCGACATTGTGTAAGAGCATGTGATGTGCAGTGTGGATATTTGAGATTATAATAATAAGAAGAAGAAAAACAAGAACAAGAAAGGAGAAGAAGAAGAAAATAGTTGAAGCAGCAGGGGAATTTACAGAAGAGAAGAAAAAGAAAAGCAAATAATTTAAGGGGTCACTCACATAAACATTAGAACATAATAGAGATGGCATAGCGCCCGACATTTTCGGGTACCCGGCCCGGTCCGGCCTGAAAGGGGCGGGCTTTACTTGAGGTTGGCGGGCTTGGGCTTGGGCCTGGGCTTGATTTTAAGGCCCGACCTCGGGTACAGGCTGGGCATGGGTATATCTTTAGGCCCAGCCCGTCTTTAAAAATTTTAGTATTAATTTTACTAATTTACCCTTATACTATATATTTAATTACAATATTATTATATATATATATATATATATATATCAATTTTTCCCAAACCCTAACCTCAATTTTCATCCCATATTGAAAGTTTAACATATTAAAATTGCCTTTAAATGAGTTAGATGGGTTTA